TGTAACATTTACTAACTGGAAGAGGAGAAACGATTTTCTTAAAAATTATTAGCTGAAATAGGAGAATCGATTTTCTTCAAAATTTTTACTATTTCTGCATTAAAAAATTTAAATTTAATATAAACAGACCAAATTCAAATAATCGGGCTCAACTGGTGTCTTGTAAATTTTATTAGCTTGCATTAAAAAAATTTATCAAATTGAGTGAAAAATGAACGCCTCCAGTGAATTATGAACACTAAATGCCAGTTTTGAATCACTGTGCGCTGTTGCATTATTTTCTGCCTATCTATCTTCGGGCTCATACTTTGGGCACTGAAGCATGCGACCCCTTCTGAGAAATCGCATCAGCACTGCGGGCGTAACTACTGGTGCATATTATGAATTTATATATGTATGCACCTTCCACATGCATATAAGAATTCATAAAAGTGCGCATACATACATACATATGTATGTGTAGGTAAACCATTGCAATTGAAGGCGTTGTGTGGAGTTATTTTTACCCTACTCTGCTTCTAGGTAGTACGTATATTTTAAGATCTCTTTGTGTGTTTGATTGCCTCGCAGTTTATCGAACCGTTGAAATTGTTGGCAGGAAAAATGCACCCGAAGAAGAGGAGCAATCACGAGTAAATACGTTGCAACCTATTGTAAATATTTTGTTTATATTTTAACGATTTTTTTTTTGCTTTTTTCTTGTACTTCGTTTTCAACTTTCGTGTGCCTCCCTTGAAGAAATTGAATTGAAAAGCTTGAAGTATTACATGAAATAGAAAATTTTAGTGGTAGCCGCTGCGCGCTTGATTTTTGACTCAACACACTTCATGCAACCATAATTCCTCATTATTTTATAGATAATGATACCGTACGATATCTGTAAGTGCTTTGAAGTATAAGTGTACTACTGTATATCTACATACATACATACATACATATGTATGCCCATACATTTGTACAATAATGAGCTGTTTGGTATTTTCATCTACTTGATGCTTTCCGCTTTTATAAATTTTTGTATCTTCTTCATACCTAATGGACACATCATTAATTAAAGTGCTAGAAATTTAATACAAAATTGATATGTATGTATGGGCATGTGTTAATATATTTACATGTATGAAGGTGCCTCTCCAAAAAAAAAAACATTTTTAGACTTCCGCCAAAATATTTCGGAATATTATTAAGATTTAGTTGAGCTGGACCAATTTAAAAATATGCACCTCCGAAAATCTAATTATTTTGTTTTCGTTGATAAAATGTTTAAACATCTTCTATCATCTCAAGTAATTTTTGCAAAACCCATTTTCTTTTAATAATTTTTTTTTATAACAAAATCCTCCACTATTATCAAATATTATTCTAAAATATTTTGCCAGCATTCTCAAAGTATAATTGATTTTATAAATTCGATGGAAAAACTGTAACGATTTTTTTTTGTATGGAGAGTGAAGCACCC